AAAACCCTATTTGTTTTCACTTTAAAAAAGTTTGATCTCATTTAATGTTTATTGTTTTATTAGAATAATCTACCTTAACGTTTTAAGTTCTGTGGGTTAATGTGGAAAATAACAGTATCTGGCAAGACTCCAAACTTTCTAATCTGTTCTGCTGACTCGCTTATTGTAATATCAATCCAAATATACAATATAATTAGAAATAATCTCGAATTTCCTTCCCATAATTAAATGTTTACAGTATGGTTTATTAGAGTAAATTTACCAGCTTTGTTCAGAATAACCTTAGATTTGTTACTTTTTCTTTGTTAGGATCATCATTTTTTAATGTAAATGAGTGTTTTTAAAATTTTTATATGTATGAGTGTTTGGCCTGCATGTGTGTAAGTCCACCAAGTGTGTGTGATGCCCACAGAGGCCAGAACAGGGCATTGGATCCCCTGGAACTAGAGTTTTAGACATTTGTTAGCCACCATGTGGGTGCTATGAATCAAACCTAGTCCTCTGCAAGAGCAGTCAGTGCTCTTAATCACTGAACCATCTCTCCAGCCCAAGGATCATATTTTAATTTGTAAGGAAACATTTTATACTCAGTTTAGGTATAGAAACAAATTTAAACTTCCTTTTCTTTAATGTAGCAATAACATGGATCTCACCTTTTTACTTTATTACTGTTCTTACTCTCTGTATAATAATTTAGTTCTAAAAAGTTCATTTTTCCTGATAATTATTTGAGTTGAATTAATCTTCAGTTCTTTTAAGTTATATAGAAAATGTACAGTTTACTGTGGGCTTACTTAGATTTTCATGTATAACTTTATTTACCATTTCAATTTCAGTTGTATTTTTTGTGTTAGATTAGTACTTTTGTGTGTAAACCTAATTTTTTTGCTGTGTTTTGGTCTCAGCATAGGACTAGATAAAATGCTTTTAAAGGGATGGCTTCAGTTAGAAAGAAAAGGTTTAGTTTGTGGTGTCTAGTATTAACAGTTTTTTAGTTTTCAAGATGCCCTTTTTAAAGCATTCCTTTTGGAATTCATTTCTATTTTAGTCTATATATTTTTTAATCATTTAGCAATATAAACAATTCTTAACAACTCAGGCAAAAATAATTTATTGGCAGGGTAATTAAAATTTGAAAGTTTAGGCCTTAGGAAAGATGAAAGCTAAGATTCTGGGGCACTCAAGAGAAAAGAACTAGTGGGCATCACTTTCCAAGGGCTGTCATCTTAAACCTTATTTGCTATATCTTTTCTCTCCAAATAGAATTCCTAGGAAAGTTAAAATTTTTTTTTTTGATTTCTGTTCCCTACTTGTCATTGCTGGTGATCACAACTGGTGTGTTTGTATGGTGTGTTAAAATGATTAGGATGCTTGGCTGTCCTATTCAATCAAAGGATACCAGAATAGTTTATTTAAAGTAATGAAGGAAGGGAGGGATTCTGGAGAGGAGAAAAAGAGATGTCTGTAGCATACATAGACACAGATGTACTCAAATCTAGCATGTGTACTTCTGTCATGTTGCAGCTTGCAGCTTTTTAAAAAACTTGTTTCTTTTTTGATTTTTTGACTTTCTGAGACAAGGTCTTGCTATGTAGCTATCCCAGTTAATTATCAATTTGACACAGCCTAGAGTCAGTGAGAAGGGACTTAAGCATTTCCAAGATCATATTGGCCTGTGGGCATTTCAGTGGGGTATTACCTTGATTGTTAATGCAGGAGGGCCCAGCTTCTGGTGGGCAGCACCACTTCTACACAGACCAGGTGGTCCTGGCCTGTATAAGAAAGCTAGCTAAGCTGGGTGTGGTGGCTCACACCTTTAATCCCAGCACTAGGGAGGCAGAGGCAGGTGGATCTTTGTGAATTTGAGGCCAGCCTGGTCTACATAACAAGTTCCAAGCCAACTGGGGCTACAGGGAGACCCTATCTCAAAAATACAAAAAAAAGCTTCCAGGCCACTGGAGGCTTGCTCATGTGAGCCTGTGGCAGTGGTGGCATCGTGTGGAACCATGTCAGCTCAATGAAACAAGGGCCCAAAGGGGAGGTGAGAAATAGGTGGCGGGCCAGCACTAGATTGAGAGGTATTTGAGACTGATTGCTGCTGGGTGAGGGAGAGTATGACTTACATACAACCACTGGATTGGCTGATTAGACACCAATGGACATATTTACACTGAAGGGCATTTGGATACAAACACCTGAGTGAATAGGACTTAGCATGTATGACAGAGTTCATAGGGTTTGTTGGGGAGATGGGGATAAGCATGGATGGGGGAGGGGGTCTGGATTTGATTGGGAAATGTATGAAATTTAAAAAGCTCAATAAAAATGTTTATCTACCTACCTACCTACCTACCTACCTACCTACCTACCTGTAAAGCTAGCTAAACAGGTGCCTGCGAGCAGGCCAACAAGCAGCATTCCTCCATGGTTTGTTCAAGTTCCTGCTTGAGTTCCTGCCCAAGTCAGGAACATTGAGGGTAGTCATCCTCAGTGATGAACTGTACCTGGAATTATAAGCACCCCCCACCAAGTTTCTTTTGGTCGTGGTGTTTATCACAGCAACAGAAGGAAACTGGAACTGTGGGGCTGACTGACTTGGAACTTTGAAAATTTGGCAGTCCTCTCTACCAAACAATGGGGGCCACCGCATTCAAGTTTTTTGCCATTTTCTTGCATGTATCTGCAAGCACGGCCACCGTATTCCCATTGATAAATCCCACTCAACTTTGCTGCAGTTCTATGTGGCAGTTAGGAGATGGAGTATAGTTTGGAGACTGGTGAAAGTGAGATTGTAAGAAGTTAAGGTGAGGGCTGGGGAGATTGCTTAATGGTTAAAATGCTTGCTGCCCAATCATGAGAAACAAGAGTTCGGATCCCCAGAACCCACAGAAATGCTGGGCATGTGTGGTGGCCTGCCTGTAATTCCAGCTCCAGAAGGCAGAGACAGGACTGGCTAGCAAGACTGGCTACATCTGCAAGTTCTGAGTTTGATTGAGAGACCCTGCCTCAATGAATAAGATAGAAGAGTGATAGAGGATGATACCCAATATCAACCTCAGGCCTCCACATACAGCATTTGTATATGCAGACACATTGTGTGCACACCCTCATACAAGAACATGCACCACATGCGTACATACATATGAAAAATGAAAAAGAGAAAACACAAGTTAAGGTAAGACTAAGTGAAGAGGAACCAAGAGATGCAGAACATGTGTTTAAACACAATGTTGGATGGTTGAAGTATGAGGAGAGCATATAGTTTATCATTCTGAGAGTCAGAGGATATACTCCAAATTTTTCTGGAATACCTGGAATACAGAAAGAGATTAGTCACTGTCTTTAAAATTTCCAATCTGTGGATCTTCCTACATTTGGGGAATGATATGTTTAATAATGCTTATGAAGTCATTTTTTAGTATTATACTTTTCAGTAATAATCACTGTTAATATTTTTGATGCCCCAAGTGGATGCTGTCTTTGGCATTTATTACAGTGTTTGTGTACTTGTAAGATTTTTTATTAAAGTTAGAGTTAAAGTTATATGTTATACATTGAAAGGGGAAATAGAAATCTCAGACATAGAAAGTTATGCTTTTGTAGCTTTTGTACAATATAGGGTTCTCTAGTATAGCCTAGTTAAATAACTTAGAAGAATTGATAATTGTTTGATAATTGTTTTTATTCAGATTATAATTGTTTAGGGGTTGGAGACCTGGCTGAGACATTAAGAGCACTGACTGATCTTGCAAAGGACCCAAGTTTGGTTCCCAGCACCACGTGGAGGCTAACAACCATCCATAATTACAATTCTAGGGGATCCAATGCCCTCTTCTGACTTCCATGGGCATTGCAAGGCATTGCATGACACACACAGGTACACTTACATGTTTATCATTCTCAGAGTCAGAGGATATACTCTAAATTTTCAGGCAAAACACTCATACATTTAAAATAAAGATTAATCAATTAAAAATATACTTGTTTTCTTTTCTTGTATAATCATATATCATAGTTATTTTGTGGGTATGATATGGATGGTTGTTAGCCTCCATAATAAGCTATGTTTACTGTGAAACTTTTATTTTTTAGCTGACATCTGAAATGTTTGAAGCTGATCTTGAGAAGGCATTGCTGCTAAGTAAATTAGAGTATGAAGAACACAAAAAGGTATTCACAAATTTATCAATTTAGGCATTTTAGAACTTTTAGGTGGTCAAAGCTTAGGGCAAACCTTCGTGAATTTTACATAAACATTCTCCTTCAGAGCTGAGATGTAACTTAGTGTCAGGCCTTGGATTCATTCCCTAGGACCATAAAAAAAAAATCAAGTTTCTACTTACATTTTGAGGAAACAGATGTACATGAACCAAGCTATGTCTGACAACTTACAGTGTTTAGGACTCCTCCAGTCAGGATGGAGGGAACAAGAAAAAAAAAAGAAAGCAAGAAATGCCATATTATTTTAATTTAAAATGAATAATAAAATAAAAACAGGGGCTATGGATGAAGTTCAGTGGTAGAGTGTTTGCTTGTCTTATGAGACCCTGGCTTTTATCCTTAGCATTGCTCCCCACCCCCAAAGCAGATTTAAACTTCTCAGTAAATACGAGTTCTTCAATATACAAGAATCCATTAAGATTTTTTTTTTTTTTTGGCAGCAATATGCTATAATTACGGTAAGTGGGAGACTGTTTCTGAGAATTTGTTCTTGTACATTCAGCATTTATCACTGAGCATTGCTATTAGGCCATATGTTGAAGTGTACTGTATAGCTATGACTACAGGAACATTTGTATGTAAATTGAGATTTGATTAACTGGCATTATAATCCTTAATATTTATTGAGTTTTTGTTGTTGTTGTTGTTCACTAGATTCATTCAAGTTGTGATGGCTCAGTGGTTGATCATGACTGGTCCCTATTATGATTAAGGCTTTTTTGGTCATGTTACTGTACCCTAGTGCCTCTATCCAAGATGAAAGGAAGAGAGGAATTAAAATCCATAGTAGATGACTTTGCTACTTAAAATTTGATAAAAAAAGAGTAAAAATGCCAATCATGTGTCCTGTGTATAGTATATATTTTAGCTTTATTTTCCATATCCTCATTCCTTATATTCTAAATAATCAAGAATGACTATAACCAAAATCCACTTACATAAAAAAGTATTATAAAAGTGGATATAGGGACTTTCAGGCTATTCTTGGAAAGGTCTTCATTTATTTCTGAATTAGTACATAAGATTTGATCAAATACAATATTATCATACAATAATGGTTGGTTGTTGTTAGATACATATTGTGATTCTAAAGCTAAAAGGATTAACTTTTGTAGGAGTAAATGATATTAATGAAATATCATATTCCCAGCCCTTGTTTCTTTGCCAAATTCATAGGCCTAGTACCCAGGAGCATTGATTAAAGAAATATATTTTATGTATAATTGTTTTTATTTTATGTGTGTGAGTGTATTGCCTGCATGTTTGTAAGTGCGCCTGTGTTGTGCAATGCCTGCAGAGGTCAGAAGAGGGTGTTGGATCCCCTGGAACTGGAGTTACAGACAGTTGCTGGCTGCCATGTGGGTACTGGGAATTAAGCCTGGGTCCTCTACAACAGCAGCCAGTGTTCTTAACTGCTGAGCTGTCTCTCTAACCCCAGAAAGAACACTGATTTTTTTTAAAATCAGACAATAATGGCTCTTAAATGAAAGCCTTTGTTGCAAAGAATAGTTTTTTTGTGATGATGTTAATGTAGTCATTAAGTTTATAAGGCAGTATTCCACTAAATAAATCATTTTTATTTTTTCATTTTTAATAAAATCATTTTTATTTTTTCATTTATCTAGGATTTTTTTGGTGTATATGCATTCATGTATGTGCATGTTACATGAATATGTGGGTTCCCATACGTGTGTGGGGAGAACAGAGGTTGACATTGAGTATCTTCCTTAGTCGTTCTCCATTTGGTTTTTTGACCCAGGGTCTCTGCTGAAAATGGAGCTCATCAGTTCAGCTAGACTGACTGGCCAGCAAGCTTCAGGAAGCCTCCTATCTTACCCTTTGCAACCCAGCACTGGGATTGCAGGTGCACACTGATGCACTCAGCTTTTTAAAATTTTTACATGAGTAGTAGGCAGTAATTGAACCGAGATCCTCCTGGCTGTGCAACAAATACTTTACTGACTGAGCCATTCCCACACACCCTCCATAATTATTCTAGCCTATGAATTTTTTCTAATAAATAAAGTCTGAGCCATCCATTGGCTCATGCCTATAATCCCACTACTTGTAAAACAAAAGCAAGAGAATTGCCACAATTTCAAGGCCAGCTTGGGCTACATAGTGTGTTCTTGGCCAGCTTAGGCTACAGCATGAAACAATTCCTCAGAAAAAAAGAAAGAAAAGTTGCAGTGTTTTCTATCCTATTACTCCCTCACCAAATGTTTAAGTAGATAAACTGTGCTTGGCATATGATACAAAGACATAAAGACATGGCCTCAGCCATTGAGCTTGGTAGAAGGAGACATGCAAATAAATGATTACAATATAGACTACTGACCGTTATCTGTTCATAATACATTGAGACTTTCTTTTTAAACAGACTTCTCTGTGCCTTTGTTGCGGATGGATTTTTTAGAACAGATTTATTCAACTTTTACTAGATTTATTAGCTGTTCAGAGTAGACCAGAGTGAAGCAAGTATTCTCATGGAATACACATACATAAGATAGGTGTGAAAGAGCAATGGCATATATGAAAAACCTTAATTTAGGGTTCTAGATATGCCTGCAATATGGATAGAAAAATAGGATATAAAGGACCTCATGTATTGGGATTGCCTTATCTCTTATAAAGTACTGGGTGTTTTAACTTTTAGATTGACTTCAGGTTTTTATTTTAGAAACTCACTGTGTAGCAGTGTAAAAGATGGATTGAGGGACTAAAATGAGAAACTATTTCTATGTCCAAGCAAAAGAAGATTGAGCAAATTACAGAAAGTACAAAGACAAAAGAATGAAGAGATATTTAGCAGAAAAACTCAAGACCTAGAAACTGTATAGTTCATATGCATATAAGATATGTAGGAAAATAGGATGGTGAGGTTTTGCACAACTGACAGCTGTGTAGAAGGTGCAATAACAGTTCTTTGTAGAGGATCAGGTGGGAAAGGCAGAGTAGCTAGCTGAAAAATAAACAGTGTGGAGATGCTTGTAACATTGTTGCTGAGTCTCTGTATGTACAGAATTCATTAGTATGAAAGTAGAACTTCAAACTTTGAGATTGAAAAAGTATACAAGTGTGAGCAAAGCAGAGCAGGTTAAGAATGGGTAATTGTGGACAAAAGCTACATTTTTCCCCCACACAAATTTATAGAATGGACAGCATTTCCAAGCATTTTGTTTATTCATTATTCATTCTGTGTTTGATAATTGTTTTTATTCAAAATAAGGTGAGGGCTGGGGAGATTGCTTAATGGTTAATGTGCTTGCTGCCCAATCACGAGGAACCAGAGTTGAGACCCCCTCCCCTCCCAAAAACCAAGAGCTTAAATATGTAGTGCAGTCCTGAAAATTGTGTAGCTGCTTTAAAGAAAAGCCCTAATGGCAGCAGAACCTACCTCAGCAAAGAAATGCTGAAAATGTAATTTAAATATTCTTCATGTTAATTGAATTGCTGAGCCAGTAGTTTAGAAGCTGCCTTTTTGGGAGGGGGGGAAGCTGGGCATGGTGGCGCACTCAGGAGGCAGAGGTATGCAAATCTCTGAGTTCAAGACCAGCCTGGTCTACATAGCAAGTTCCAGGCCAGCTGGGAATACAGGAAGACCCTGTCTCAAAAAGACAAAAAAGAAAAAAAGGGTAAAGAAGGCATCAGTGTAAACTTAAGAGTCATATATTGAGAAAACCAAGAGTTGGTTTTAGAAAGTGCTATCTTTTTGATTTGGTAATTCATAGGAGGTTGACCTCAACTTTAGTGTCAAAGAACAACAGAAGCCACATTTCAGTGGAATAAGATTGGAAATTGACTATAGAATATTCTTTTAAACTTGGTTCTGAAGAGAAGAATAAGTTGGCAATGTGGGGTGGGCTATAAACTAAGTCATAATATTTTTACTTTTAACTGCAAGGACGAGCAATAAATAAATAGGTTTTTTGTTTGTTTTTTTAAAACTTGACTGACTTGTTTTCAGTTTTTTTTGCCTTTTATCTTTAAAAGTAAATCATTAAAAGCATATTACCAATTGATAAGTTAATGTTATACTTTATAAACAAAACTTAGTTATTGTTTGTAATTCTTTTTAGGATTATGAAAATGCTGAAAATCCTTCAACTCAGCCAAAAGTTATATATAAAAAAGATAAAAGAAAGAATCATCAGGGAAAAGACAAACCTCTTACAGTGTCACTAAAAGATTTTCAATGTGAAGGTAATGTATACACATGATCTTTTACTCTAGAAGAACCATTTTCATGCTTGACAAACTATCCAGATCTCTAGGGTTACTTAACAGAAGCTTGATGAGAGGCTACTTACAGGAACATGGGTGACTCTTCCACAGCTGCCATCCCTAGAAAGCCCACCCAGCCTGGGTGTTTTACTTTGTTTCTTCATTGCTGTGATAAAACACTGACCACTACCAACTTATGGGGTAGGGTTTATTTAGCTTACATATCCCCGGTCACAGTTCATCAGGGAGCCCAAGGTAGGAACTCAGGGCAGAAATCTGGAGGCAGGAACTGGAACACAGGCCATGGAGGAGTGCTGCTTACTGGCTTGCTCCCGTGGCCCCTGCTCAGCCTGCTTTCTTATACAACTTAGGCCCATCTGCCCAGGGGTGGCACCACCCACAGTAGGCTGGGCCCTCCCAGATCATTCAACAATCAAAAAGATGCCCCACAGACATGGCCACAAGCCAGGCCAATGGAGGCAATTTGCCAATTGAGGTTCCCTCAACCCAAGTGTGTGAAGTTGACACTAAAGCTTTCCAGCACAATTGACCCCTTGTGAACTTGACACACAAACACTATTAAACCATAACCTTTCCAATTTTCATCCCCAAGATATGATGTTAATATCACAACATAAGACAGTACAACCTTAAAAGCTCCACACGTCCTTAAAAAAATCCAAACACTTAAAAGTCCATCATCTCTTTTAAAAGTGGGCTTCTGTAAAATCCAAAACAAGTACGGTTTTATTTCAAAGGGAAGAATGGGGTACACCTAAGCAAAACCAAAGTCCACAAAGTAGCCCGAGGCTGGACATCTGGGATTCACTCACGATCTTCTGGACTCCAAAGGGTTCTGGCAGCTCCACTTCTCTGACTCTGCCATCCACAGCACACAGCTTGTCTCACAGACCCAAGCCAGCTCCATTCCACACCTACTGCTGTCCTTGGTGGTCGTCCTACTGTCCTGGCATCTCCAAAAAGCTGGAGTCTCCACTGAAATTGAGGCTATACCTTCACCCATGGCCTCGTCTTGCTTCTTATGATGCAAAGCCTCAGATTCTCTCCATGACCCCTTCAATCCTGGGATCTTCACTGCAACTGAAGCTGCACTTTCACCTATGGCCTTTCCTGGCCTCTCAGAGTGCCAAGCCTCAGCTGCTCTCTCTGACCCCTTCACGCTTTCAACACCAGAACCATGCAGGAGACTCTTACACATTACCAAGTCCTGCTTCCAGCTTGAAATAGAGGTGCGGGTCCCCTCTGTGTGCTGATCCTGAAGAAATTACCTCCCAGAAGATTTCACCTCAGTGATGCTGGTCTCTTGTTACTTACAGCTGATTTTTTAGCCCCAGCTAACCAGCATCAATTGTCCCAGTAAAACAAAGGTTTTACTTCAGGTTCTGGTCTCTTCTTAATCACAGCTGATTCTTCAGCCCCAGCTGACCAGAATCCAATCCAAAGTCTCACATGAATAGCGCTGATAGTCTCTGCTTCCATTTGAAGCTTCACAAGCCAGGCCTCCATTGTCTACAACTCTTTCAGCATAACTGTTCTAAGCTCCTCAGCAACAAACTCTGAGCACGCAATGGCTTTTCCAGCCCAAAGTTCCAAACACTTCCACAGTCCTCCCAAAAACACCAAGGTCAGGTCTGTCACAGCAATATCCCACTCTCTGGTACCAATTTCTGTCTTAGTTTGTTCTTCATTTCTTGGTCAAAACACTCTGACCAATACCAACTTGGGAAGGAAAGGGTTTTTTCAGTTTACAACTCCCAGGTCACAGTTCATCAGGGAGCCCAAGGTAGGAACTCAGGGAGGGAACTTGGACACAGGAGCTGGAGCACAGGCCATGGAGGAATGCTGCTTTGCTCCCCTGGCCCCTGCTCAGCCTGCTTTCTTATGCAACACAGGCCCACCTGCCCAGGGGTGGCACAACCTACAGTGTGCTGGGCCCTCCCACATCACTCAACAATCAAGAAATGCCCCACAGACATGGCCACAGGCCAGTTCTATGGAGGCAATTCCCCAATTGAGGCTCCCTCAACCCAGGTGTGTCAAGTTGACACTAAAGCTATCCAGTATACTGGGTGACAGCTGTTGAGAGCTGCATGCCTGGTGCTCCCTGCCCACGTTTCAGGGAGCTCCACCAGAGGCTCCTCTGACCCAAAAATTGTTTATTGCCTATGTAACCTCAGGGATGAGCTTTGTGGATCTTTAGGTTTAATTAGCTTCCAGAATCTTCAGAGTCTCCCTCTTCCCTCTGGGAATGTTTCAATTCAGAGGAAGTAGTTCTGTAACAAACTCATCCTATACAGGACCCTCATGGCTTAATCATCTCTTAAGTTCCCATCTCTCTTTTTAAGTATTATTCAATTAGCACATAAAGTAAACTTTTTAAGTATTTATTATACAATTAGTGCAAACTTCTTGTAGCATTTTCATGCATACTTAAGTGGTTTTTTTTTTTTTTTGGTCTTTTTGAGACAGGGTCTCCCTGTAGCCCCAGCTGTCTTGGAACTTACTATGTAGACCAGGCTGGCCTTGAACTCACAGAGATCCACCTGCCTCTGCCTCCCAAGTGCTGGGGCATACTTAGTTTTGGTTGAATCTCATGCTTCCTTCCACTCCTCTCCATCTCCGTGGCCCTCATCCTCATTGTCTCGAGTACTCTTCCTTCACTTTCACATCACATTTGCTCTCTTACTTCCCTGGCCGTCACTTAAGCCTCTTTTTTTTTCCAATTACATGGACCACTTTCTAGTTTCTGGCCTTTACCCATACTTTCACATAAGTATACATGTGTAAAAAGTAGAAGCTATAATCTGCATATGAGCGAGAACATGCAGTGTTTGTCTTTTTAAGCCTGGGTTACTTCACTTTGCATATGCTCAAAAATGATCTAGCTGGGCCATATGGTAGTTCTACGTTTAGTTTTTTGAGAAGCCTCCACACTGATTTCCATAGTGACTGCAGCAGTTTACAGTCCCATAAACCATGGATAAGGGTTCCTCTTTACCTACATCCTCACCATTTGTTGCCATTTGTTTTCTTCATAGAACCATTCTAACTATGGTGAGATAGAATCTCAGTGAGGTTTAATTTGGATTTCCCTGAAGGCTAATGAACACTTAAAAGTACTTATTGAATGTTTATATTTCTTCTCTAAGAACTGTCAGTTCAAAGCCAGATGTGGTGGTGCATACCTTTAATCTCAGGGAGTAGAGGCAGGTGAATCTCGGTGAGTTTGAGGCCATCTTGGTTCACATAGTAAGTTCTGGGCCAGCCAGTGCTACATAATGAAACCCTGTCTCAGAAAACAAAGAAAAAAAAAAACCTATCAGTTCATAATTGGCCCATTAATTGATTGGTAGTTTTGGGGTCTTTTATGTTTAAATTTTCTTTTCTTGATATGTATTCTAGATAGTACCCCTTATCTGAAGTATAGCTGACAAAGATTTTCTCCCATTCTATTCACAGTATTGATAGTTTATCTCCCTGTACAGAAGATTTTTAATTTCATGTAATCTGACTGGCCAGTATTGGCGTTATTTCTTATGCAATTTGGTTTTTATTAAAAAACCTCCTGCCTGTATATATATCCTGAAGTGTTTTCCCTTAGCACTTTCAGCATTTCGGATTTTTTTTTTTCTTTTTGAGACAGGGTCTCCCTGTAGCCCCCAGCTGGCCTTGAACTCACAGAGATCTGCCTGCCTCTGCCTCCCAAGTGCTGGGATTAAAGGCATATTTTTAAAAGTATTCTTCCACAATTTCATACTTATATACAATATATTTTGGTCATATCCATCCCCAATTACCCCCTCCCATATGTTCTGGATCATTGTCCCTGGCATGTGCTCCTCCCACCTTCATGTCTATTTTAATAACCCACTGAGCCCAGTGAGTGCTGCCTAGATAAGTACAGGCTATCTATCAGAGTCCACAGTCCTGAAGAACAGTTACTCCCACTCCTCTAACAGCCATCAGTTGCCAATGGCTCCTCAACTAGAGATGGAAACTCATGGACCCTCTGATTTCCATGCTGGAATTATTGACTGGCTTGATCTTGCATAAATCTTGTTCAGGTAACCACAGCTGCTGTGAGTTCATGAGTACAATGGCCATGTCATGTTCAGAAGACAGCATTTCACAGCACTCCTCCCCACTCTCTCTTTTTTTTTCTACCCACTATTTCCTGAGCATTGTTAAGTTTGATGCAGATGTCTTATTTAAGGCTGAATGCTCAATAGACACATTTTCAGCTTTTGACCAGTTATGAGTCTCTACACTAACTGCTGCTCACTTCAAAAAGAAGTTTCTCTGACCAAAGTTGAGAGCATATCCCGACTCCCCAAATCTGCATGTCTGTCCCTACTTTATTGCCCAGTATTCCCCACTACCTTCACATTGTAGGTGTTCTACTGTCTCCTCCCATCCCTTAAGGCTTCTTCCCCTCTCCCCTCTCATGGACCTTCTTCAGACACTCCAAATTAAATATAGGAATATAAAATTTGGAAGCTAGGAACCATATATTAAACTGTGGTGTTTGTCTTTCTGGACCTGAGTTATGTCACTTTGTATAATATTTTCTAGTTCCATCCATTTTCCTGTAAATATCACAATTTGATTTTTCCTTACAGCTTAATAGAATGAACTGTGTAAATGTACCACATTTTCATTATCTCCTCACCTGTTGATGAATATTAGATGATTCCATTTCCTAGCTATTTTCAACTGAGCAGAAATGAATGTGGAAATGAAAGTATCTGTGGTAGGCTATGGAGACCTTTGCGTCTATACCCTGAAGTGGTATAGCTGAGCCATATGGTAATTCTGCATTCAGCTTTCTTAGAAACCATAGCACTGACTTCTATGGTGGCTGTACCAATTTACACTCCCATAAATGGTGGATAAGGGGCCCACTTTCCCTACATCCTCAACAGCATTTGTTGTCATTTTTTTTCTTGATGCTAACCAAT